TATAACTAAAATTTTCATTAATTTTTAATATCCCACTAGATTTAATAGTGTCGGATCCAAATTTTAAAAAGTACGACGACTTTTACTAATCATATTAAATCTAAACGAAATATATCGATACCATCTTTACCTAAAAGTGTTTGTTTTCAATTTGGCTGTACGTTTATCTTTAAAAACTACTAATAAAAAATGTAACAAGAACTAAGACACAAACAAAAACAAGCTGGTGCAAAGTGAATAAAAACAGAGTAAAAAAAGCATTTTGAACATTTCTACTGTTTGTACCGACGATGGTGTTCAACGATCTACCTATCCTCTAAAACGTGATCTTTTAACCTAAATACAACACCTTTGAACGAAACCGTAGGTTTCGCATAAACACTCCACCCATTTCTGTACCTGGCTGCATCGTGATTCGGCTGGTACCTAGCTACCGGCTCGTGTATCTTCGGATCGTACTTCCGATTTCCGATAAAATCCGTAGTAGACCGACTCTTCTGAACGGGCTTCAAAATAGATGGGGATTTCTTAGATTTGGGAGGGGGTGAAGCGGATTTTGGTCTGGATTTATCTCTGAGTACCACATAAGTATCTCTAGAAGGAATAGAATGCTCTGGGGAAGATAAGGATCTGGTGTTATCTTCGAATTTCGGGTAGCGATGAGCTATCCAATCCGCTGTGAGGTACGGAGCTATATCTTTGAGCTCTCTTATACTCGGTGAAGAAGTATACATGTGTCCCATTAAAGATATATCTTCCTGACTGTCAAACTTTTCCTTCAGTTTCTCAACTTCGCCTATTGGACAACCAAGAATATCAGCTAGCTCTTCCATGCTCTTATTATGCCTTTTATTACCATTTTTGGTACCTTTTCTTGTATAAAGGCTTGCTATTTTACTTATAATATTGATGTGGGGCATAAATCTATCTTCAGCTCGTAGAAACATCGGTGAAACAACTCCTCCTCTCCTAGTTCTCGATCTACCTCTTCCACTGTGAGCTGGGTACTCATATTTCCTTCTTAGACTATCAACGAACCCTAAATTGAAATTTGGATAGGCAGTATTTAAATCTGATTCGCTTCTAGATCTCTTTAACGTGGCACTTCCGTAAATGTCTTCAATGTATTCGAATTTATCTCTTAATCTAGAAACTTCACCAGTTTTAACTACTGGTTTCTCTAGAAGATAAGGCGATATAGATCTGCTTCTGCACAAACTTTCGTTACTAGTATTCATAGATAGTTCAGAACGAATTGGACTGATATCGATTGATCTCAATTCCGGTTTTTTCGGAGTGAATTTCTGTTTTCTAGTAGCGGATAGTGGGATGGTTGCGAATTTCATTAATTCCTTCTCGCCGAAATATTCCTTCAAACTTTGACAGGATTTCGATTGATGTAGTGATTTTTCATCTGTTGCTGGTAGAGAATAGAAGTTGGTGTCACCGATTTCTTCTGTGGTATCAGCAGGTTTATATACTGTAGGAACGTAAGTATCTTTTTCTTTTACGTGTTCAAAATATTCAACTTTCTTTTTAATATCATCGGTTTTATCTAAGCAGATTACAGTTTTGGTACTTTCATCAGTACTTTCAGTTTCACTAGTAGAAGCATTTTTTACATTATTTAAAGCGTTGGTCTTTACTAGAGGCTTTTTTGGTTCTTCTATCTTAATTTGAGCTTCGGCGGCTGCTACAGCGCCTAGCACTTCTTTACCAACAACTACAGGTAGGGATAGCTTATCATCTTTGCGTTTTTTGGATATTTTGTCTAATAGTTCTTTACTTAGTGTGTAAGACATTAATTTCTTATCACTTTCTGTCATATTTGCTTGTTTCGCCAAAGGAGGAGTCTTATAGATATGATCAGAACTGTCTGAATTTCTTCTGACTGTTAAAGTTGGAACGTAAATTGTCTTCTTATCTTTCGGCACCTCAATAGAATAATCAGTTTTGTTTTTTGGGTAATCATTATAGATCTCATCCAACTGTTTCTTTAAAATATTGATTTGTTCCATTGATAGACTGCTCCAAATTCTGCTACCAATTCCGTGATTTAATAGCTTTTCAGATTCTAATAATCTTTGTCTTGCGGTTTGAGCTCTTCCTTCAGAATGTGATCTTTTATCTCCTCCGATACTATTAGCTATGTTAGCGACAGAGAAACCACGCCATAGCGGTTTGTATGTATCTTTTAGAAAAGCCAATTCTCGCCTTCTTGCATTTTCTCTATCAGATTCTTCAAGTTTGATTTTCTCGAATTCTTCTTTGATATCGTCTACAGATTTTTCTTTGATTCTAAGTCCAAAATCGCGTTCCTTCTTCCATCTATATCTATTGACATCTTTTGGTATATATAGGAAACCTTTGTCTCTTTCTTCTTGCTTGATTTTGTCGTATAAATATAACAATTCCTGTTCAGCTCTTTCACGCGTTCTTACCTCCTTCCATCTATCGAAATCTATGATTTCTGATTCGCTTTTTTTACGAGGTTTGACATTAAAAGCCTTTTCTAACTGACCTACTTTCTCTATTTCACTGTAGAAATGGTTGAGGTCTTTAAATTTACTGTCGTTGAGGTATTTATAGTAATCTTCACTTCTTAATGAATCTAAAGAAGTTGTACTGTGATTCAAGCTTGGACACATGTAAAAAGAGTATTCTGGTGGCTTTTGCTGACTTTTGTATTGCATGATTCTTCTACAAGAAGGAGATCTGCATAATTTTGGACTTGGAGGTGGTGATACAAATTTTTTATGATGTACAATTGGGGAAACTGGTCTAGTAGTTTGAGAAAATACTAGTTTAGCTGGTAAACTACTGCTTCTTTTTGGAGTTTCTTTGCATTCAACAATGGCACTGTCATCGAACGTTACTGATCTTGGACTGGCTGATCTGGAACGAATAGTAGCCATATCGAGGCTGATAAATTTTGAATCTGATACGGGTCTGATGTTTTTTAGATATACTTTCATCGCGCTGATGCTCGGTTCTGGAAATGATGATCTTCGTCTTTGTAATTGATTAGTTTTTTCTACTATCCAAGAACATTTGCTAGTGTTTGAAGGAGTTGGTGACAAATCCCTTAAAAATAGATGTTGGAAGAATTGATTGCTTTCAATAGCGTCTTTTTGTCTACGGATATCATTTAAGATCGAATTTGAACTAGTTATAGGTAGTTTTTGGATTCCTTTACTACATTTACTGTCTTTTCTAATCTCGTCATTTATTTGTTCCTTTTTAGACTTTTGTGTATCTTTTTTTAATTTCGTAGTTGAAGATACGGGAGTTCGAGCGATAGGTTTCTTTTTTGTCAACTTTGGTGATAGCAAAGATGAGGTTGAAGTTGAAGGCGAGGGGGTTGTACGTTTAAGCTTCGGAGATGTTGGAGAGCTAGTTTTTAATATTGTTCTGCCTCTTTCTGATATTCCCACTTTGACAGGAAGAAATTCCTTTGATCTAGTAGAAGTTCTGGTTGAAGATAAGGGTGCAATGGTTTTTTTATATATAGTACCAGTTGGTAAGTGTTGAGATGCTTTTTTGACTTCAGTTGGTGACACCAAATCTGGAGATTTAACCAATTTGGGTGGTTTTATGTTCAGTTCGAACTTTTTCTTCTCTGACCCAAAAGTTCTAGTAGGAACTTTCATGAGATTTAAACTTTCCATTGATGAATTAATAGGACTTTTCCTTGTACGCGATTTGGTGACGGAATCTGTAGACTTTGATCTGGAAATGCTGGTTCTACTTTCTACTTTCCTAGCAGATGTTTTAGCATCTTTCGAAGTAGTCAGAGTTGATGAAATCCTGTTCTTAAGATCTGGTGAAGTAGTGACCTTCTTAACCACTCTTAATTTAGGACTTGTGCTTCGTTTGCCCATGGTGGGCGAGAGTTTGCAAGTAATTTTATCTTTGAGGTAGTTAACTTTGGATTTATCAATATTAGAGGTAGTCGTGAAGCAAGTTTCGTGCCTTTTGCACAAAGGTGACTTTGAACTTTTGACTTTCATAGTAGATACTAGCCGTAACGTTGGATTATTCCTAGAAGATTTTCTTCTTGGTGGGGAGGGGGGCGGAATTGGAGGGGGCGTGGGAATGGCGGATGAGGGAGCTGTTCGTTTATAAGCAGAAAAGGTACTGTCATGGTGTACGGTAACCGGATAGCAGATAACTTCTTTTTGCGGTTTGATATTTTTGTGTATTCTGATTCTTGTTAACGTCGGAGATATGGGAAAGAACTCGACGAATTCGGTTTCTGTGAATTATAATTTCGATTGGTTAAATTTTATTTATAAGGCTTAATTGTAGTGCTTTTGTGTTCTGAAAATAATTAACGTGTGTACAGTGTTTTTATCGATAAGGAAATAATAATTGCACTACAAACAGTGGAGAATATCAAAAGCTTTTTAAATAGAATTAGTCGGGTTACTGGAATGAAATGAAATGAGTTTTAAAACAAACCTTTTTTATTAGATCCATCACCATTGGAATTTGGAGCATTACACATAAACATATTTTAAACGTCTTTATATTTTTTTATAAAATGTTTCGACTAAAATATTTTTATTAAAAACCTTTTTAATTTTGAAGTATTATTTTAAAAAAGATTCTTGATAAAAAGTTTAGTATACATTTTAAAAGCATATTTTTAATAAAAAGTTCTTAATAAAATATTCTTAATAAAATGTTCCTAATAAAATATTCTTTAAATTTTTTTATCAATAATACGCTTTTAATAAAATGTTCAAAAAAAATTCTTAAATAAATATTCCTTGTAAAATGTTTTTAATAAAATGTTCTTAATAAAATGTTCTCAATAAAATGTTGAAATAAAATCTTAATAAAATATTCTTAACAAAATCGTCAATACTTCAGTTTAATGTAATGCTCCACATCTAAGACTTTAGTAAAAAGAAAAATCATGCATTACCTTCACCTCATTATTTTAGTAGATTTAGATAAAAACGAAGAATTATCTCAACCGTTTTCCGCTAACTTACCTTTTGGTTTTTCAGGCGCTAGTTTTCGAAGACCGTGAAGAGGAACATCTCCGCCTTTCTGGATGACTTTGTAGGCTTCTCGTTGCTCTTTGGGGCTGAGTTGTTGTTGAGCAGCTTCTTCTCTTCTTCTGAACACCAGCGTCGAGTCACTTTCGTACCCCGTATCTTTTAAACATCTAAAATCATAAAAATAGTTACTATTAGAATCGTTAGAATAACAACAAAACAGGTACCATGGAAAGGTTAAGATTCAAGGATTCATCATAAACTTGCTAGACGTAAACATCTATCTCACTTACAAATTCAATTAATAGGGTTTATAAAAACCTAAGTGGTTCTAAACCGGAGTATTTTTTAATTTGATCACCTACTGCTTTAAAATTCAACTTAATAAAGAATTCCTAATAAAATGTTCTTTATAATGTTCCTAATAAAATTTTCTTGATAAAATTTTCTTAATAAAATTTTCTTGATAAAATTTTCTTGATAAAATGTTCTTAATAAAATGTATTTAATAAAATGTTTTTAATAAAAAGTTCTTAATAATGTTCTACTTCTTCAAAATTTAACTAGTTGTCTATTCAATTCTACTATCTTTTAATGTATATTTAAGGAACAAAAAAAGTTCATATCTATGGTAAAAACGAAATCTTAATGTATTCCCATATTTTTAAAATAAAAATGTTTATACTTACTGGTTGATGAAACTTCTTGGATGCACTTGAGGTTGCACCTTCTTCTGCTGTTCCAAATGCTAAAAACAGAAAATTACACATGAATTTTTTGCAAAAACTAAATCTCTGACAACAGTTAGTACAGAAGTGAAATGTGTTGATGTCCATGCAAATCAGTGTTGATATCATTTCTCTTGACCTTTTTTTTGACATACATGCTAGGACACGTGCTTTTCTTAGTGTTGACAAAAAAGTTTGTGTATTTGGTGATAGAACTTCAGAAAGATAATGTTTCAAAGCAAAATTAACGCGTCACAAGGCATATCCTACTATGATTATTTTTTAAATACAAAAACATTGTTCGAAAATCCATTTGTACAAAATTAATAAAAGTGTAAAGGAATCTACAAAAAATTGGTTTTGAGTGAATATACTGCTACAAGATTTTTTTTGAATTTTGACTAAATAAAATGTTTTATTAAAATATTCTCAATAAAATGTTTTTAGTAAAATGTTTTTAATAAAATATTCTTGTTCCTAATAAGATGTTCTTAATAAAATGTTCTTAATAAAATGTTCTTAATAAAATGTTCTTAATAAAATGTTCTTAATAAAATGTTCTTAATAAAATCTTCTTAATGAAATCCTCTTAATAAAATGTTATTAGGAAAATGTTCATAATGCAAAATAAAATGTTCTTAATTTAATTATCTTTTTAAGGTTAAAACATTCTTCTGAAATTCTTTTTTTTATAGAATTAGTAAAAGTGTAAAGGAACCTACACAAAATAATTGGTGTGAATATACTGCTACAAGCAAAAAATTTACTGTTAATAACAATTTGAGGAATTTTGAAGGATTCAATTTGTTTCCTCTACAAAATATACCAGAGAGTTTGAGATATTTGATTATTTGAGTCTGACATTTTTATGTTAAATGTTGACACCCCGGAAAATTCCTCATTTAAGCACCATAAAAGCGACAGGCCTTGCCTGAACGATTCGTTAACATTATTTTGGGTAGATCCAAAAAGTAGTCGTTTAATATGTTTTTTTGGAAAGAAATTGGGGAAGAAAAATAGATTCTGAGCATGCTCCTTTGCCTTACGGATCTTGATAGAGCCCTGGCGAACATAACTTCATAGCTGGGTAGAGCCGAGTTATCATCTAGCCACTTTTGCGGAAAAAATCAGTGTTAGTACGAGAAAATACACCCTTCACCAAAAGTTAAGTCAAGTAATTTGTGAGTCTGGTAGAAATTTATACTCAAATACAAACATTTTCGAAACTCAACCGACTATTTTTGAACCATTGGTGGAATTTAATGAAGGAAAGTTCGGATGAGCAGAAATTGTGAATTGGTTTAAAATATTTTTTTAAATTTGAGTTTAATTTCTACTTCTCACTAATGTTAATTGAATAGAAAAAAATAAGATTTATTTAAAAAATCCTACCCCATCGAAAATGTCCATGACTTCGTCCCACCACTACAAAAAAAATTGAAAAAATATTTTATTATAGTTAATATTTAGTTTTTTTTTTTATTTAAGATTTAGTTCAAAAAAATATACAGAAAAGTAAAAATAAAAATGTACTGTACACTGAAAAAATGGGCAATTATTTTATTAAAATATGATTTATCTATTAAGCTTTAACTACTTTATAGTACAAGAAAAATAGAAAAGGACAGGTATATCTTCATTAAAAAATATTTCTTGTGACGAAAAAACTAGTTTTTGGAAATTTTAGCGCCCTCTACTTTTTGTATATATTATAGTAGCTTAGTGACGCTATGATATAAACAATACAAAATGTTGTTATCTACAACTTTTGAATAAAGTATATTCACGACTTACCGTTTAAAAAAAAATGATTTAAAAAAATTACAATACAAAATGATTTAACGCTTCATGCGTTACTATAGTCTAAACAGTTTTTTATCGGAAGAAAAACTACTTTCATTGTACTGCTTTTATTTCACATGTATTCTAAGTTGCCTATATCTCTACATGGTTACTTTTTACAACACATGTACGATACTATGCCTATTTTTACATTATTTAGTCACTTATAAAGGCTGACATGCATTCTGTTATTACATCATCTAACATTTATTTAATGATTTTTTTAAAAAGAAATATACATTGTTCCACTTACGTAAAGTTGTTTAATTTAAGGTAATATTTTTCTTTATATATTATGAATAATATGAATATTATGAGATAAAGCACTTGCCTGTTTTGCTTCCTTTTCCGCTATAGAGGAATGCCCTGGGGTGTAGTTTTCAATTTTTCCTGGACTTCTATAATAATCCTGAGTATTTCTTACTATATCAGACGAGGATGATCTGAAGAAATAAAATTGATTATATATGTTTGAACGCTTCATTTAAAAGATTATAAATATTGATGTTTCACAAGAGGATACTGTTAATAAATAAATTTATAAAGAAAAAGATACGATACAGTGTTGCCATGCCGATAATGGGAGAGATGATCTGAAAGAAGGTTAAGTCATGTGTTTAATACAATTTTCTGACTAAGCCAAAATCAAGCAATTACGACCTTGTCCAAAACAAAGCAGCAAGTGAAGGTACCCCAGAACTAATTTAGATGAAACGACTTTATAACGGTAAAAAGTATAGCTGAACTGATGGCATAATAAAATCCAATGCCACCAGGAGGTGGATAGTGGAGCTCTTCAAAGGTTACTAGCTAACCCCTTAAGTTTGGGGTCAAAAATCGTGTGTGACGTACGTAGGCACAAGCAAGTTTTTTAGTGATTTACGATTATTATTAAGGCTTAAATTCAACCTTGCGCGTTTTAAATAAGATCGCGAGCAGAAAAGGTCATTACAATATTGTCATTTGTATGTTCAGATACTTTTTTCCAGAAGTTGTTTCATTGGAGAAGTGCTACCTGCTTAAGAAGCACTAACCATTTGATCAGTAGATTTACAATAAGTTAAAGCATTTAATTAAAATAAGCTTCTTCGCCAGGTATCTTTTATATTATTAGTATAGCTCAATTTTGTTCACAGGTAACTAATATTAAACATGGCCGAATTTAAAAAGAAATGTAGACAATACAGCGTTGATTAGCCCAATCTTTCCTTGTCGGACAAGCAATTGCTTATGTGTGTGATTCTACAGAAGCAAGCAATAAAGGGGAAAATTTTGAAAAATTACTTTACTGTAAAATACAATATTTTGTATATGTTGTGTTGTCCTACATATACAGGGTGTATCTAAATAACACCGAAAAAATTAAAAGGGTGATTCTGTGATGAAAATTAATGTGAGTGTTTGGTATAAAATTTTTTGAAAAAACCCTCCCCGGAAAAGTTACACCCCTTCGAAAATTAAAAAAAAAATGGTTTTTCTTTTTTATTTTCCCTGTATATCAAGCTAAAGACACGAAACTTGGTAAAAATTATCTGTCAATAAAAGTACACTTTCTGAAATTTTTTCAACCCTAAGGTATGCTTAGAAGGGGTTGAAATAATCAACCCCTAAGATATTTTTTCTTACAACTTTTTTTTAGATGAAAATTTTTTCTTTAAAAAAGTATGACTGAAAAGCCCAATTCATTGACTAACTTTTTCATCTCTACAAGTTTTTTTCGAAAACTTAAGCATTTATGAGAAATAAGCTCATGTAAAATAGCATTTTATTAAACAACAGCCAACCAAATTATGATTCTTAAGACTTCTACAACTAAAAACACAAGTGAACAAACAATGAACAAAAACCTGTCGAATATCGACAATATAATTATAATAAATGTTGAAAATGACCGCCTTCAGCTTCAATACAAGCATCTACCCTTTTCCTCATAGAATTGCGTATACGATGAAATATTCCTGGAGAATTTCTTATAGTTTCACACCCTGCTACAATGCGGTTTCGCAGATCATCGATATTTTCAACTGAGTTTGTGTATATTAAAGATTTCAGATATCCCCATATGCAAAAATCCAAAGGATTAAGGTCAGGGGAGCGGGCTGGCCAGTTTACACGTCCTCCTCGACCTATCCATTGATTGGCATACACCTCATCCAGGTGAGTTCTTGCACGTATACTAAAATGAGCTGGTGCACCATCGTGCATAAACCATAAATGTTGCCTAATTTGAATGGGAACCTCTTCAAGAAGAACAGGTAATTCTTCAAGGAGATGACAATATGCTTCACCATTTAATCGTAGCGGAAGAAAATGGGGACCAATTAAATGATTATCAATAATTCCGAGCCACACGTTTAATGAAAATTGATACTGATGATTTCCTTCATGAGGATTTTCGTCAGCCCAAAGGTGATTGTTGTGAAAATTTCTAATACAGTCTCTTGAGAAACTCGCCTCGTCAGCAAATAAAATATTACCTAAGAACTGTGGTGCTTGGCCAATCATATTAATAAGCCACTGACAAAAAATTACACGTGGTAAAAAATCTCGAATCATTAACGCCTGCACCCGTTGAAGATGATAGGGATACAACATTTGTTCTTTTAAAATTCTAAAAACAACGGAATGGCTTACATGTAGGACACGAGCTATTCTCCTGGTACTAGTTTCTGGGAATTCTTCAATTGAATTAAGTACGGCTTCTTCTACAGCTGCAGTTCTAACTTCTCTAGTACGACCAGAATCATAACTTCTTTTTTCAAAATTACCACGTTCCCGCAAGGTCGGTGAATAGTTGTGAACGTAGTATGATGGGGTAGTCTACGCTATGGGTACTGTTCAGCATAAAGTCTTTGCGTTTCCAATGAATTACCGTTAGCACGACCGTATGTAAAATGCATATCTGCCATTTCCAAATTCGAATATGCATTCATATTTTCAATCAAGTAATATTTCCTACAATACACAATCATAAAACTTGTGAAACAATAAGATGGGTAACAGAAAATGACACTACACAATCCTGGTATCAGTATTAATGTTTTTATGTAAAGCACAGGCCACTAGACTTGACGCAAAATACACTCGCGTTAGCTCATCTTTTTGAAAATGCATTGCATTAGATTTTTTTTCTCGTAAATACTCAAATTTTAGAAAAAACTTGTAGAGTTAAAAAAGTTAGTCAATGAATTGGGCTTTTCAGTCATACTTTTTTAAAGAAAAAATTTTCATCTAAAAAAAAGTTGTAAGAAAAAATATCTTAGGGGTTGATTATTTCAACCCCTTCTAAGCATACTTCAGGGTTCAAAAAATTTCAAAAAGTGTACTTTTATTGACAGATAGTGTTTACCAAGTTTCGTGTCTTTAGCTTGATATACAGGGAAAATAAAAAAGAAAAACCATTATTTTCTTTAATTTTCGAAGGGGTGTAACTTTTCCGGGGAGGGTTTTTTCAAAAAATTTTATACCAAACACTTACATTAATTTTCATCACAGAATCACCCCTTTAATTTTTTCGGTGTTATTTAGATACACCCTGTATAGTAGAAATAAAAAACCTGCATGGATCAAGATCATTGGGATTTTGTTGGTGTTTTATTTAAAAGTATTGTCCATGGTAATGACATCATGTCGACGAAAGTAAGATTGTATTTCTTTTCGCCAAAATAAGCATCCTAGTGATATAAAAAAAAAACACCAGAATAGATTTTAAAAAGTTTTAATAAACAAAATTGCATTTTACGTTGAAAATAAAAGCAAAATTAAAAATCTTCTAGTAAACACAAAACTTAAATTGAATCCTACATTTTTCAAATGATAAATCCTATTTAACATTGCTGAACCCAATAAGCTCCTTAGTTGCAAAACAATATTTGTCCCTTCTTAGTTTCTTTGGCACTGGTAAAATCTTTTTAATATCACCTAGAGTCACAAACTCTTTGTCTGCTGCTTTAGGCCAAACGAATTTTTTTTTTAATTTTTTTAGAAGTAAATATTCTTCTCATAAAATCAACCTTGTATTTTTCCAACATAATAGACCTTACATCTCGATGGATATTCTACCAGAGTAAAATCTCCAACTTTAAATTCATTTTTAATCAAAATAGTATCTTGATTCAAAGTGTCCATGTTGGAAATTTCATCCGACGATGAGTAAACATTCGAGTATTTGATACGAGAGTGAGTGTTGGGCGGTGAAATGTGTATTTCACCTAAGTGGAAATGTTCACACAAATCTTCATATCCGCAACCATCCACACAAGTTAATTTTCTCAAATGTATAGTTCCTGGATTTTTTGATGGCCATACAATTCATCGTATCTTGAAAGTTCTCTCAAAAGATTTTATATCTTCAGTTTTTATTATATGAAACTTTATACCTGGGCAATTTAGTCGCAAAACTTCGACCAGAATCTCCAAGTTGGGTATGTCTTTACCATGGGCTCACTCGATCTGCTGTTCGCTTTACACAACCACCTATTCCATCGGCTGTTCCTTTTCCATGTCCACTTTCTATAAAATTCCATGCCATATTGTTAGCTCCCAGAAGCTTAGGAAACTCGGCAGCAAAGAGAAAAAATATCGTCTTGTTTTTATATTGGGCTGTAGGCCCGTCACTAACAAAATGAACATGGTTCACAGCAGGAAATGTATCAATAATTATTTCAAACAGTGGATTTAAATGTGCAAGTATACTGGCTGGATCGTGTCTCAAGTTATCAGAGAGACTACAGAAAGAGTTTGCCTTTATTTTTTCATCGGATTGATAATACCACACTACCGTATGTAGCGTGGTTTGAGATTTTGAGCCATCGAAATGAGCACTTTGGATTTCCTTGGAGTATTTACTTTGATAGTTTTGAGAAAATTCCATATGTATTAAAATATCACCTTCTTGTAGATTCGTTTTCAAGTAAGGTATTGATTCATGTTGATGGCCTATCTAGGCTGTATGGAACATATAAGTTTTTTTCCAGCTCATTCACAAAATTAAGTTTTATCCAAGAAATATCCACTTTTTTGCACTTCAATACTACTTTTTCCTTGCCTTTTATTACAACTGTCTCTCTCTGAGTAACCCATTTTTTTATAAGAGGAATTTTCATCCTTATTAAATACATTAAACATCAATTCTTTGTGAAGGCATTGCTCACAAAGCCTTTGTAAGCAATCTTCGGTCACAGGTTTACAGCACATAGTTTCTAATAGATTGTCCGAGGAGCCTCTGGCAATTATATTCAAAACTTTCAGTTTGGATAAAAGTAGCCTCATGTTCTCGTGTGTGGAACAAAGACACCTAGAGGCTGGTGATGGAATTAAAACCCAGAATGGTCTTAAAAGGCAGTAAAAAGCATAGGAAACTCGAAATCGTTTTTTCATGGAACAGAACTTTAAGTGTAAGTTTTTTAAGGTGTCGTTTAAATTTTTTTTTTGTTTTCTGACTTTCTTGAAGGTTATACAGTCTTGTCATCATCTTATTTCTTGAAACATTCGCACGTCTTCGGAAGTGTAGATTGTAGGAACCCATTTTAACAAATCTCAAGCACTTATTCTTCACAATTTTTCCTGAAATGCGTTTTGCAAATTCATGTTTTTCATTTATTCCTTTTCTCAATTCATAGTTTTTTCTATTTGGAATTTCAGTGCCTTAGTAATAACTAATTTTGATTTAATAATTAGCGGAACATTAAGACCAAGAATTTCCCGTTCAACATTCGATTTAGGACTATTTTTCTCATTTTTTCCAGTTTGTATTTTTTCTTCATTCTGTGATACCGTTGTCTGTATTTAATTTTTTCTCTCCTGGCTTTTTCCAACTGTAATTTTAAAGTATTCAATTCCCTTACAGTCTTTGACTTCCTTCTTAGTATTTACTTTCTTCCACATTCTTTTCTTGACGACTTAGAAGTCTCAAAGGCCGAAAAATATTTGGTTGCTCTGGTGGTTGGACGTTCTGTTGCAAAATTTTCTTTCTATTCTTGACTTTTTGATTGTCCCTAATCGCTGAGAGGCTTCTCTCCAAGGTTTTCTTATACCTTTCGCTATTTTTCTGAGTTGTTCGTTGATAGTTATTAACTTTTTTTCTTCCTTGTGTTTCTGATACCGTTCTCTTTTGCTTTTTTTGGACGACTCGTACAATTCCACATTCTTCTTCTTTTTTTTTCGCCTCCTGCGCTCACATTCTCGCTTTTGTTGGCGCCTTCTTTCAATCTAAGATGTTTTCGACATTGTTCGACCTTAAAAATAAGGAGAAGCTTATTATTATTATAAATGTGCAATAAAATGTATATTGTAAATCAACTCCATTAACATTGGGTCATTACCATGGAAACCGCCATAATAATGACGAAATAATGTATTTTGTAATTTTTACTCAAATATAATTTAAATAACAAAAAAATATTTGTATTACAAGTTTATACACTTCAACCTAAGCAAGTTATAGCAAGAAAAACATTAGAAATGTATAAAAAGTTGATATTTTTTCGTCCATGGAGTTGATGCATTAAAAAAATACGCACCTGTAAAACCACGTATTGGCGACTTGTAGTGAATAATCACGTGACACACACTACTTTAATCGCTACTCGCTGACAGCTGAGTCAGCGGTCTCTTAGTCTCTTTCCTTCCGTTAAATAATGATGAACAATGTTGCCAAATTAGTTTTTTTGGCGTTAAAACAACAAAGTCCTAGGAAATGATGGTGTTCCTGGTGTGACAACACTTTAACTTCAAATTTGTAAATGATTAAAATTAGTCAAATCAATTATATGCTAGAGTATAGATTATTTATTGACAACTTACGCCCATATTCACAGTTTTAAAATTTTATCCAGATTTGCAGATCTCGTTTAAATGACTAGTGGTTATTTTCTATGCACCGGCTAAGGATTAGATAATCAAGTTTTAGTAATCTGACAACACTGGATTGTTATAAATTTCACAAAAAAAGAGAAGAAGAAAACTTCAGATTTGAGTAGGAGAAATATATGTCAAAGGATAAAAGGGCGTTTGAAGATAGAAGAACTATTTTTTTAAATGTAGCAAAATCGTATCAAATTTTACGCAGGATAAAAAAGAATGTCAAATGAATTTTAAAAATAATTCTATGTTGATAGTAACCAACATTGTTGTCGCTTGTTGAAAAATCATCAATAAATCCATGATAATTGGAATTACTGGTAAGGGAATCCTCATGACACTGTTCAATAATTTAATTTCCATTAAAATGATAAGAAAAGTGTTCAAATTTTGATTAATTCTCAAGGTCCAATAAATTCAGCTATGGAAGAAAACGATAATCATAATTCTACAGAGTCCCTTACCAGTAATTCCAATTATCGTGGAATTATTGATGATTCTTCAACAAGCGACAACAATGTTGATGTTGATAGTAACAAAAAAATGGAGAATAAAGACTCATAATTTCCTCGTCGTTCAACAAGAGTAAGAAGACCTGTAGAAAAGTTGAACTTTGAATTATTTTGACAAAGAGAAGTGTTATGTATATTTCGTACTATTTTATATTGTTTACCTTCATCGCTATATCGATGTCATTTTTTGATTAACAATTAATTGTCAGTTAGTTTTCAATAAACATATTCTTACAAATCGAAATGTATTTCACGTTTTTCGAACTATATGAATATAACATACCCATTGAACATTTATAATCAAAGCACCAAGTTCATCCCTCCCACTAAAAAGCATTTATTTTTACTCAATTAATAAATGTATAAAAATTAATATGCTTTTTGTTTTTTATTCCTTCTTCTACACCTCACTACAATTAGAAATCAGTCAAAACACATTTGAAGTTGACGAATTTTCAAAAATGCCGTATCAGCTTTGCAAAACCAAAAAACATGGCAAGTGGTCTGAGACAAAAAAGTTTGGGGACCTCTGGTTTAGAGTATCATTTTTATACCTGGTTAAAGAAACCTTTCTTTAATTTGTAACTCACCTATTTACAGTTGGCCTGGGCATCGTGGAGCTAACGTAATCCGAAGATCGTTCCTGTGGCGGAGGCCGCCTCCTATCCAACGTTTGGTACTTGTAATCCGTAAAATCGCTGTCGTACGCCCCTGGTTCCGGTTCGGACAGGTAACCGGAAGTGTAAGGATATTGCGCTGAAAGCACGAAATTATTTGTTCATTTTTTAACAACAAATTATTATGGTTTTTAACGATATTAAAAAAATAATTATTTATGTGACGATGCATTGTTATGCTCTAAATATTTTGTTATACAAAATTTATTAGATAAGCAGGTATTAAGGATGTAAGCGATTTAAAACAAAATTGATCGTCATGTGTGATTATGAATAATTCGATTTTTTAAAATAGTTGATTTTAATTTCTTGCAAATATTCTCAGTTTTAACCGCTGTTAAATTTTTAACAACCAATATACATATAATGCAATTTTGACCTAATACTCTTTTTTTCCTGAACCCTTGTATTTCTTAGAAACTAAGTATGTAATTTTAAGAATAATATGACAACAAAAACACTTTTGTTATTCCTATAAAAAATCTATTTTATCAAAATCTATTACAGATTATGTTTACCTGTATAAAAACTGCTAATGACAATGTAGTATGTTATTTTAGCTTATTTATAGATCAATCATTTATATAAAATACTTTAAAAATTAATATTTAATTAATCATAATATTTATTCAAGAATAACACAAGTTACAAAGTTACAAAGTAATAGAATAACAATTTCAAATAAATAAATATTAATACTCAATAAGTGCCAATAAGTCACTTGTTTTGAGAACAAATATAAATATAAAAAAAATATAAATATAAACAAATATATACATATGAAATAAAATTAATGCATTACAGAAAAAAAATATATATATATATATATATATATATATAAAAAAGGAGATAGTTTTTTCGACCGGAAAATATTTATTTTTAAGTGAAGATAATATCAGGTTAGCGGTCCTGATATTATCTTCACTTAAAAATATATATATATATATATATATATATATATATATATATATATATATATATATATATATATATATATATATATATATATATATATATATATATATATATATATATATATATATATATATATATATATTATCGCGGTATTTAGTATTTATGATATATTATGATCTGATATTCTTTATGTAACATTATAAATACCATACCATGATTCTAACGAATGAAACATTTTTATGTATTTTATTTTTCTTTATTTACCAGAACCTTGCCTGGGCGCCACCTCTCGGAGAACGTGAGGATTCCTATCTCAGTTGAGTTCAAATACGTTTGACCTAATTTCAGTTTACCTGTATTTTATAAGTATATAAATAAATAATAAATCATAAAAAATATCTTTATTTAATTAAACATGCCTGTTAAATTAGAGAATGAGAATAATTCAAACAAATAGGAACTAAAAATAACTGTAAACTTAAAGTAAGAAGAATTAAGCATTTAAATTTCCCCCGTTTTGTCAAAGTAAAGTGTTGAATAATACAATAGTTATTTATGTATCAAGGGCGTAAAACAGGCGTTTATGGACCGCAACGTGTAAGTAAGAGCCCGAGCCGCTAGGCGAGGGCTATTAACACGTAAGGTTAAGAGAAAGAGGGAAAATGGGGAAAAGATGGGGGAAATGGAGAAAAGAAGGAAAATGGTAAAATAAGGAAAAGGTGTGGGGGTGAAAGTTTGTATGGCGCTATCGATTTTTAAAAGGTAGGAACATAGAAATTAATAAAAATTAGTAAAAATTAATAAAAATTAAATTAATAAAAACTAATAAAACATTTTTTTAGGTTTGAGAAATTTCAGGGAAGCGGATTGGGTCAGATAGTATTATAATAAAAAAATTGTTTTAGATCCATCACATTTGCCTTTTGAGCATTATTTTTAAACATCTCTTTTGCAGAACTTTAAGTGGTTGTAAATGTGTTTGTAAAGTACAACCCCACACAATGATGGCATATCTCAAATGACTTTCTATTAAGCTGTGGTACAATATTTTAAGTTGATGCGGTTGTAGATAATCTCTTATATTTTTAAATTTATATAGTATCATCCTTAATTTTTGGCATATAAAAGTTATGTTTTCTTTCCATTTGAGATATGAATCCATGTAAACCCCTAGATATTTTATCTTGTTTTCAGAGAGAATGGTGTTTGCCTAGAAGCAGTAAAAGGTACTTTGTCAAATGGAGGTATTGTTATAATATTATTACTGAATGGTAATTAGTGGGTTTTATCTACATTTAGTGTCAGTAACTTACTGTCAAACCAGTTTTTCAGATTTGGGAGGTCCTGTTCAATTTTTTGCTTCAGTTCTAGCCATGAGTTTGCTTTATAAAATATTGAAGTGTCGCCCGCGAATCCCAAAACTTCCCCTAAACTCTCGATAGAAAATAATCCGTTTATGTAAAGATTAAATAGAATAGGACCGAGTACCATACCTTGTGGGATACCATAAGTTATGGATTCTAGATCACTGTAGACACCATTTACTCTTGTAACTTGTTGTCGGTTAGTAAGGTAACTTTCAAATAATTTTAGTGATGTGTCGCTTATACCTGCTTCTTCTAAGGTATCCAAAAGTAAACGGTGGCTGACAGTATCAAATGCTTTCGAGAGGTCTAGATATACACAGAGACATGGACTTCTTTCATCTAGAGCAGTTGGTATTTTGGTAGATAGTGCTTTAATAGCATCTTCCGTAGAGACATGTTTTTTAAAACCTTATTGTTTATCAGATATTATACCATATTTTGATGTAAAATTTACTAATCTATTTTTAAGAGCTTTTTCAAAAATCTTTGATCAATGTGTTATTAATGAAATTGGTCTATAATTTGTTACCACTGTGTCATCTCCTTTTTTATATATGGAGACAACAATTGTCTGTTTAAATGTATTAGGCCATGCACCAGTATCAAAAGTCAGGTTTATCAAATGATTTAGTGGTGTTACAATAAATTTCGATATATTTTTTAATATTTCGGCCTTAATATTGTCGATACCAGGACTTTTATTAGATTTTAAATCATTAATAATAGTTTCAATATTACGGGGTGCTCGATAGGTTGGATTTGGCTTAATATTTTCAGCCAGTTCTTTTTCAACATTTATATAGGTTTTATTAAAAGTATTTGCAATTTCTTTGAATGTATTTACTGTTTCCCCTTCCGAGTTTTTTTATTGAATTTATGTATTTTTTTGTTTCTCTATTGGAGTTAATTTCATTTATTACTTGGGGGTTATAGGAGTTGTTTTCAATATTTTTGTTAATTTGGCTTTTATAATAGTTATTTTTCACAGTTTTTATAGAATTTACCTCGTACCTCGTATCTCGTATCTATTTGCTTACCCTGACTATAAGGTTGCTACCTTTTCATTTCTCAAATCCCGGATCTTTGTTTGTGAAATTTCTAAAAATGGTGCTCAGCTTATAATTTTATAAACCAGGTCATTCTATTGAGCTTCTAAGAAAAAAAAAAGGACCTTAGCTTATAATTTTATAAACAGGATCCTTCTGTCGAGCTCCTAATAAAATGTTCAAAACCCGGATAGTCCAGGTAAAACCCGTACAGGTGGCATACCTGCTTCAAGTAGAGGTTCTTTTGTTTCGGATATTAATTATATCCGTCTAATAGAAAAAAGATTTTTAAAATTACGTTTTACAGAAAATATATTTGTTACGTTACCTTTTTATTAAAAATAAATAACAAAAAAAAACACACAAAAACACACTTATATTGCACTACATCCGATTTAAATTATTTACATGTGGACTAGAATCAACTATGTGTTCATTATTATTAACAAAACTGTCTCATTACTACAGAAACGTGTGATAAGCTCGGTTTTTAGATCATGCATTTCTAAAGGAAAAGGTCACCGTTTATCAAATTTATTCAAAAAAAATTTAAAGTCCGCACAGAAAGTTTATCAACCCGTACCTCGATGGCCCTATTATGACCCTAATACGTAATAATTGAAATCGCGACTAGTAGCATGGGCGCTGTCAAGGGGGCAAAGGGATTCGAAATATAATTTTGAGAGAAAAAATGGGAATCGCTTAAAATTTCTAAAAAAAAAGCATTTAAGGACCCAACTCTATCGTACGACTAGTTTTTGATAAATTGGCTATTTTTAAAAAAACTGCACTTCCTAACAAAATACCTATTTTGACTATAGTCAATCGAGCCGAAGTAATAAATCTGTCAAATCAGAAAATTTTAGGTGTGGGAGCCTATACCTATTATTATTTACGGGGTACATAAAATCATCATTTAAAAATATATTTTTTTGAATATGTATTATTGAGTATTATGCAATTGTTATTTGCAATTGTTATGTAAGTGGTAGAGATATCTGTTTGAGTAAATCAACAACAAGGTAGGTATATAACAAATATTTTTCAAGACCTATAAATCTATTAGGTATACCTACATTAAATTTTTTAAATCGTTATTAATCATTGACTTCTTGGAAATTTTTGATGTCAAGTAATGACAAGTGGAGAGAAAGATTTCAGCTTAGATTATAGAAAGTAATCTGAGGGTTTAAAATCTATAAATGTATATCTAATCTATAATTGTATTAAAAATGTCAATGGAATAAATCCTTGGATTATAGAAATCTATTATCTAAAAGTTAATCGTTATTTTATCATCTTCTTAGAGATTACTAATGTCATGAAAAAACCAAAATGATAACAAGGAGGTGAGATTATAAGATAGTTACTTACCTAGGATTTGGTATTTAGATAAGATAGGCAGTTGCAGTTAGTTTCTTGATCAGTTACCAATATTACCTACCCTGTTTGATTAGCCTTCTATATTATCTATTACAGTAAGAAATTGTGGTTATTTTTTGTTACTAGTGACTGTAGCATTAAAAAATGCAATGTGGTTTAAGTCCAAAGTTTAAACCTGTGAAACATGTACGTTGTCAGTTAACGAGAAAATATTTGTAAGCAATGTTTATAATTGCCTAAGAATGGAAAATCCTTCGTTTTCTGCTGACGATACTGTTGAAAAGACAAGTAATATGATGGGTGTAAGCAAATAAACGATAAATAAAGTTATAAGTGGAGTTGTTAAACCTCCAAAGAAAAATGCAGGA